ACAGGGGGCGCTGTAGCTTTGGCTCGCGGGATCTCATGAGTTCTCATCGATTCTCGCGAAGTGTCGTATCCTGAGAAAGGGTCGACACCGCGCAATCTCTGATCTGTGGGCAAACGGATCATTACACAAGGGTTTATACGACTCTGCACTGCCGATATTGATGGTTCGGTTTGATAGACCCAATGAAAAAATGTCGCTCCTTGATCTAAGCTAAACATACCACATTCTTAATTTATCTTATGGTAGTAATATATATTTACGATAACTACATTAGATATTGCAATTTTCATATTTATATATAGCATTTTTGTTTCCTCGGATACCGCAGGCAGTTTATGGAATCAACGTCTGATGTCTCTGTGACTGAGGCTCTCCCTGACACGACGACTTTCTCATTGTGTTTATTTTCCACATATATTCTTGATTTATTGGAATACCCCTCGTGAAGTGACAGTGTATTAAGACATTCTCCAGCATATGTATACCGTTCTGAAAAAAGTGATGTACATTGTATTCCTATGTTCGCAAGAACTGTCTCTGACGCCTGTAGGCGATACCACACGCTATGGATATAGAGCATCATGGAAATGATATATTGGAGATGATTTTAAGATCATTGTTTCGACCAATTAGTTCATATGAAAGTCTTTAAAAACATTATTGTGTTTCTAAACTCGATTGTGATACAAATGAAAGTGGATTCCTCATTACAGAAGGATACATATGTGATAAAATTGAACCACCTAGACAAAGGATTTTGTGACACGTTGAAATCGAATTTTAAAAGTTTAAATAATTCATATTTTGTAAATGTCAAATGTATACTAAAAAAAACACTGGGTTACATTTGTTTCTTAAACACGAATCCTTCCAGGTAATACAGTGACGTGAACAGCCAGTGAACCCTACACTAAATGGTACTTAACATAACTCAGGTTATTGATAACTAAAAGGGTAGGTGCAGGTCTTAATTATACAAATATGGCAGTGTTGTGTCGAGACCTTCACAGCGACCACTCGTAGATAATAGCCCGACTCGACAGAACGCGGAGAACGTTTCTATTGACTAAACAATTACTCCAAGAACAGTTGACATTGCCGTGTTAATGTAACCAAATATTTGACTAGTGTTTGTGATGTTTATTCTGTGAATCAGTAAACCATTATGACATCATGATCAATAAGACATACTCTTGAATAAATACCTCGAGCCTGATGAGTATCAGAGCAGTACCGGTAAGCATTTTCATCACTGATCACGAGAAGCAATAGGGTCGATGTTCTTAATTTAGTTCACTTTGGATTTAGTCATAAAATCTGTACTATGTGGGACAAGCACTCTTCAAGAATAACTTATAAGCGTTTTACGCGTTTGTTATTTTCTTGTTAAACATGGGCAAGAAGTGGCATGTGTGTTTAAGCAAAACGTTCAACTGTTAAAGACCTAGACGACTTGCTGAGATCAACACTGAATGAAAGTCATCAGCGTCAACATACTCAACATTGGTCCTGATTTGACTGCAAAGGAGACGCTGGTTCAATCCAGCATTACACCCATTGCTCCTTAGATCCAACTTCGGTGTGTGTGTGACAAGAGACGTACAGCTCATCCGGTGTCAACATAAGGACGTCAGTAACTGAGCGTTTTCAAAAACAGTAGATATGTTTTGAATATGCATGTATTGATATTTTTAGCTTTATAAAAAAGAATAGTTTCGGTTTGCATTTCTGCCATATATTAGAACTACATTTGGGGAGTAAGTGAACCGAGTTGGTCGCAGCTTTGAGTGTGACAGTGGGGTGAAGGCGAAAACGAGTCGCAGCTCTTGTACACGTACTCTTTTGAGAAAAGCCTGGATCCAGGCATGGTGCTGCTATGCCAACGATAACAACCATAATTCAATGTCCTGATTGTCGGATCCTGACACAAGGAAGGAAATATACTCTGCGCAGAGAATCATCCACGTGACCCGGAAACCCGTGCTCGTTTGCCGTAATCGCATAGGCAAAAGTTAATGACAATTATGAAATTGAAAACCCGTTCACCAAAATTTATGCTCAGATGCAGTTGACCATAGAACGATTTGTGTGTAGTTTATGTACGGTCACATGTGTGGAAAGATCATCAGATGCTATCAGGTGCTATTTGTACGTCATCACCCCTCGATGACGTGGTTGTTCTTGATATCAGCCATTGGTTTACCTGGTCTATACTATCTCTGGTCCTTAATACTGTTCAGGTTGTCATGATGAGCGTGTACGATGTGTTCTTGTTTACATCAATCATTGTACATGCTAAAACAACTATTGTAACTCAGTAAACTGCAAAGGAGGGGATGTGAATGGATCACCGACAATCTCAACCCTTCTATACATAGATAAACGGCTATATTTTAAGTTATTCCAATTACAATGCCTCGGGTGACATATGGGGTTATTTAAGTAGCATTCTGTTGAATCAAATAATGGATTTGTCCAATAACATCGCTCGAAGTGATATATGGGGTTACTTAAGTAGTATAAGCCACGTAACAGGTCCATTCAATAACACCGTCCTATTCTGAGTTAATATGTAACATTGTTCAGTGTATAGGTGTACAACATAGCATCACTTGAAGCGAAGTGTACAGTTACAAGTTTTCACTTGTTTTCTAACAAGTTACACATTTTTTATATAACAACCTAGCCATACTACTAGTTACTTAAGTAAAACCATCTTACGACATTTTGAAGTAACACCTTGTTCATGTCAGATAATGGAAGTAACATATTGCAGTTTTGAAATTATAACTCCTTATTACATTTCGAGTGTTGAAAGTAACAACTTCTTGTGACATATTGTGTCATTGAGATAACGCCTTGTTAGAACATGTTGAGTTATTGAGATAACACTTAAGAGAACAACTAAATGTCGAGTCATTAATTACCACCTTATTACCTGTCGAGGTATTGAGGTAATACCTTCTTAGGACATGTTGAGTTATTGAGATAACACCTTCTTAGGACATGTTGAGTTATTGAGATAACTCCTTCTTAGGACATGTTGAGTTATTGAGATAACACCTTCTTAGGATATGTCGACTTGTTGAGTTAAACATGCTATTATTGAGTTATAAGTAACACCTTCTTTATGTCGAGGTATTGACGTTACACCTTCTTTGGACATGTCGGGTTATTGAGATAACACCTTCTTAGGACATGTTGAGCTATTCATGAAACACCTTCTTTGGACATGTCGCGTCATTGAGATAACGTGTTCTTAAAACATGCTATTATTGAGTTATTGAAGTAACACCTTCTTTATGTCGAGGTATTGACGTTACACCTTCTTTGGACATGTCGGGTTATTGAGATAACACCTTCTTAGGACATATTGAGCTATTCATGAAACACCTTCTTTGGACATGTCGCGTCATTGAGATAACGTGTTCTTAAAACATGCTATTATTGAGTTATTGAAGTAACACCTTCTTTATGTCGAGGTATTGACGTTACACCTTCTTTGGACATGTCGGGTTATTGAGATAACACCTTCTTAGGACATATTGAGCTATTCATGAAACACCTTCTTTGGACATGTCGCGTCATTGAGATAACGTGTTCTTAAAACATGCTATTATTGAGTTATTGAAGTAACACCTTCTTTATGTCGAGGTATTGACGTTACACCTTCTTAGGACATGTCGGGTTATTGAGATAACACCTTCTTAGGACATATTGAGTTATCGGGGTAACGCCTTCTTATATGTCGACCTATTGAAGTAACACCTTCTTATATGTTGAGTTATTGAGGTAACACCTTCTTACTTGTCGAGTTTTTGAAGTAACGTGAGGAAATTCCTTTGTCTTGTGTGTAGCGAGGTAGAAGAAATACGTCAGACAATCTTCATACTGAAGCAGCGGCTTACCAACTTATCATTGTCCTTCAAGAACGGTGCACCGTCGGCGAGTGATCAGTCTGGGCAAATTTGGACAACGGGTCTGCAGGAGACGTCAGCTGTTTGAGCTGTGTGCATGTCCCGTAATGATTACAAGGGATAGAGACAAAAGTCCCATCGTTCACGCTATACAGCAATAAGAGGATTATACACCGTGGTTCCGAGCACGCTAGCAATCCCCTAGTCCTACTTATACACAGCATGTAATTGATTTTGAATTAGATAGGGTTTATGTCCACTCTGTGCAATTATGTATTCTGTTCGGTATTCTGTGCTGGAAATGGCATTTGGAGGGTGTTATCACAACTTTCTCGTTGTCACTTATTGTCCATGGAAATAAACTTTAGTCGTCGACTTTGGAAACTTACTACAGTGCACGAAATCGTTTGTTCATGCGCAGATAAAGAACTCGTTTGACCACGTGCGGTAGTTCCTTGACCTCAAATGGCCCTTCAATCATCTTAAGTGTCTATAAATTGAATTCAGTCCCGTGTATCATTGTGTAAGCTGTTATGAAAGAAGGCATTCATTGAACGTGCCCAAGATGACTGAACCATGTAGAAACGGCAAGGCAAATGTAAATCGGTGTCCTATGTAGAGGTTTTGGCATGATAATACGTACACAATTCTGGGACATTTTGCGTGTTCTGCCTAAATCTATCACTCATTATTAAATCGAGGCACTAAATATCCGTGTCGATATTTAAGTTGTTTTTCTTGATTTATCCAAACATGAACTGGATATAAAAATGTCAGGGCACTCATGCATATCGGATTCCAGTATATCTTTGTATGTTGTTCCGTTTTGCATTATGATGATGCTGGCATAGGGTTGTGTGGGTTTGGTTGTGTTTTCACATAATTTGTTATGATGACAATGGCGGTGACGATCGCTGATAAGAGTAATAATACTAACTTTCGTAATGACGATAATGATTGCATTTGGTCTTATAGTTTATGAAAGCTGTCATATAATTTGGAGATGACATTAGCAGCAGCTTAGCTTGTTTCTTGTTACTCGTTTTACGTGACATCATAATGACAATATTCTTTTCCTTGCAGGAATCTTTTCCCGGATAACCTGATCACCGCCTGCTATAATGCGGTATGTATACATACATTTCAGTGTCATCCTAATGGTGCATGTAATCGATTGTAGTATGGGGCCGAACCAGAATGGGTACCCTTTAAGAGACACCTATACGTTCACCTAAGTGATGTTTACGGAACATGGCTGAAATCAGCATTAACCAAATGTGAGGTGAGGTGAAATTGGGTTTAACGTCCTGCTTGAGAATATTTCGCTCATATGACGACGTGCATGCGTGTGTTTGTGTATGTGCGGCTGCTTGTACTAGCCCAGACTGAAGCTGGTTTTATAGTGCTATGCCACTGAGATACCATGACGCAGTGAAGTATGAATACCCCACTCAGACACATTATACTGACTCCGAGCCGACAAGTCCTTGTTGTACCCATTAATGCCGAGCGCCGGGCAGGAACAACAAATAACATATTTTAACGTCTTTTGGTATGACGCGGTCAGGGATCGAACCCGCGACCTTCCGCTCTCCGGGCGGACGCTCTAACCACTCGGGCCAACGTTGGGCCAACGTCGGAATGCTATCTGGGAACTTTTCAACGAAGCTACACAGAGTGATAGTGTAGAAAACTCGTGGGAGATGTTTGCCTTTTAAAGGGAAACAGTATACTTTTGCGTTTCAGTGACCTTTCCAATACTGATTGATATATAATCTGATGTGATACTTTTAGTTATTAGTTGACGCATGTACCGCCGGACCATTAGTTATTAATATGAATCTAAATATGGACATTTTCTGTCGTTTTATTTATTAAAATTGTTATCAGTCATAAACTGATATATGCATGCCTGCCACATTGTAGATAATTCTTTCCCAGGCAATTAGTGTTCATGGAAAAAGCTGCAATATCTATTTAGACCTGTGAGAAACCAGATTTGAATAGGTTTTCAAAAAGTTATGATAGTTGTAAGAGACGACTGACGGGATCGGGTTTATGATCAGTGATTGTTTGATGCATGTCATCGTATACCAGTTATGTAAACCATTGCTTTTGGTGATACTCGACGTATTGTTTGGTCCAGATCCGTTTATATAGAGACTGCTTTCATGTTGATGGAATATTGCCGTGTGCTGTGTTAAAGAATAAACAAAATAGCGGTTTACATATATGCAGGTCGATGTGTGTTCTTGTTTGAGCCAAATTAACCACTAGGCTAAGCCGCCGGAACTTGCCCGGAACACCTGCTGTGAAAACTGAATTTGACGCATTTCTGTTCGACAATCAGGCTTTACAATAACGGCGGATGGACGATGAAGAATTGAGTACTTTACGTTCTGTTCCCCTCTCTTTCTCAGTCTGTCTGTCTGTCTCTTCGTCAGCCCCCACCCCCTCTCTTTCACACACGCACGCACGCACACACACACACACACACACGCGTGCGTTCTCTTGCTCTTAATTTCGTTCTCTTTCCTCGTATTTGCTGTCTGGCTTAACCCCTGGTTTTAAGATTGCTATTAGTCTAACAATATCGCCAGAAAGGTATATTCCTTTAAGGTCAAAACGCTTGGCATGCAGTGATGCCTAAGACATAATCCTTGACTTCCGGTCAAGTGTCGTCCTGGAGGAAGGACCAGGGGCTCATTACAGATATTATAGATGCCCACTGCTGCTGACGTCGCACGAGACCAGGAACGTCATGCTATCTGGCGACATTATTCCTTCAGATTCTTGAAAACATTGGACATTGATTTCGTTATGGCACTGCTCCGGTACAAAGGTGGTTCTGGGTATGATCATATTCTCGTGAATATCTGACATGAGACATGAACTCGAATCATAATAGTCGGAATCTTATTAAGCACTGTATTGAAAAAAGTCTTATGAATATGGAAAGGTTGTGGTGGCGTAGATAAATATGACCAGTCCCAAACCTAGAACCATTCCAAACAAAACCGTTTGCACATAGAACTTAACATTTCCTTTGAAATAAGGAAAACAAATCTTTGCTAAAAGTAAACAAAAGCATGAACATAGAGATTTTTTCTGGATTACATCTTCTTTTTATTCTCATAAAAAAAAGAAAAAAAAAAGAAGAAGATGTAATCCAGAAAAAAATCTCTATGTTCATCAAATATCATCTTCTAAAATGCCAATCAGGCATCTAAACAAAAGCAGTAAATCATTTCTTTGTGAAGTAAAACATCATCAGTGCATCGAAATGTCTGTATCAGGACTGGTACAAGATTTTGATATCCCCAACAATAAAAATATTATTATATAAGTAAACAACAAGAAAATGTTGATTTAAATATGCAACAAGGTTATCAAACATCGTTCTGTTCAGACAATGATTTTTGCAGCCACGCAACATATCCACCACTTTGTATCAAAAGCTGTCCATCTGTTTCCAACACGCATATGATGCCGTTAGATTTCCAGGGAACAAGAGAACTTGCGACTACAGTGTTTCTGCCCCATTAACCTACATGCTTCATCAGTACAAATGTCTCACAACACCTGATGTAGTCATAAACAGGAACTCAATACTCATAAAACGGTACTGATAGCCACGAGTATCTGCTCCGTACGGCAATGGATAATTAGTTCTGAAAATAGGATGGCGGAATCGCAGAGCCTTGAGAAATTCAAGCTGCACTCCCGCATAGTAAACGTGGATGTTTCTAACCATTATGCATTCTACGATCTTACATAATGGCCATACTACCAGGAAGCAAGTCATAAGGAAGTACATCGGTGACTTATTGAGAATTTGGACTTCCTGCTTCGATGAAGTCTGAAACGTGAGTTGCATAAGGTGGTCAGCGCGACCTGTCCAAACAGAACTGGTCAGCTTCAGAACCTGGTTGTGTATCATACAATCTGAGTATTCAGAGTTGGAAACATTAATTACGACCGTTGTCAACATCAGTCAATGCCAAACGTGTGAATACACATTAATGTCTTTCTCACCGAGCCTGTATTAATATTATTTTATGACTCTTGACTTACTACTGCTACTGGGGATAGTATGTATTGAGTATTTAACTTCCCAAGAATATTTTTCTATACCTTTTGAAATAAAGTCATAGGAGTGTAGTTCAATAAAATGTATTGTACTTCGAAAGATTTGTTTTCAATTACATGATATCGTCCACTGTTGTTTTTTTTCTGTTTGAGTCACAATTATTTGTAAACTGCCACAATAGAATGTGAGCTCCGCTGTCTCTAACCAACATTCATTCCATGGACAGCAGACACAGGAACATTAATAAAAGTGGTTTGATGCATTTCTGTTCTGCAACACCTTGTTTGGTGATACACAGCCGTATGAAATTAAGATGCGCTTATATACTCATGCCAATAATGGTTGTCACCCCCTTCAATTTTTTAATTGGAGAGGGGTGGGGGGTGGGGTGTGAGGTGTGGGGGTTGGGGTGGGGTGGGGAGGGGGTGACAACCATTATTGGCATGAGTATATTTTTAACATGAGGGGAAAGAATATTCATCAAGTCAGATATCGACATTCTAGTGAATAAGCGCGCAAGCAATAGGCAAGATATCCAAACAAAGGGCAGGGCACTGCAGTGTTGCTGCAAGCAATGTGGTGGGGCATTTCGTCGGCATGCATTGCAATCTCAGTTACGACCGACAAATCTCCGGTTTTTCTGTTAACGTAATGCCAGCATGTGGTACTGGGTGAACTCAGGCTGTCGACATACATAGCGTGATGTGAGTGAGTTGGATTTAACACCACTTTCACAAGTATTTCAGTTATATAACGGTGTGCCAGCTCTTGTGTGAGTGAGTGAGTTGGATTTAACACCACTTTCACAAGTATTTCAGTTATATAACTGTGTGCCAGCTCATGTGTGAGTGAGTGAGTTGGATTTTACACCACTTTCACAAGTAGTTCAGCTATATAACAGTGTGCCCGCTTCATGTGCTAGTGAGTGAGTTGGATTTTACAACACTTTCACAAGTAGTTCAGTTATATAACTGTGTGCCAGCTTCATGTGTGAGTGAGTGAGTTGGAATTAACACCACTTTCACAAGTATTTCAGTTATATAACGGTGTGCCAGCTTGATGTGTGAGTGAGTGAGTTGGATTTAACACCACTTACACAAGTATTTCAGATTTATAACGGTGTGCCAGTTTCATGTGCTAGTGAGTGAGTTGGATTTAACACCACTTTTAGTATTTAAGTTATATAACGGTGTGCCAGCTTGATTACGGAGTGAGTGAGTGAGATGAATACTGGCACCTACACGGTGAAAGACTGAGTGTATGAGTGAGTGTATATAACGGTGTACCAGCTCATGTGTGAGTGAGTGAGTTGGATTTAACACCACTTTCACAAGTAGTTCAGTTATTAAACAGTGTGCCAGCTTCATGTGGGAGTGAGTGAATTGGATTTTACACCACTTACACAAGTATTTCAGTTATATTACGGTGTGCCAGTTTCATGTGCTAGTGAGTCAGTTGGATTTAACACCAATTTCACAAGTATTTCAGTTATATAACGGTGTGCCAGCTTCATGTGCTAGTGTGTGAGTTGGATTTAACACCACTTTCACAAGTATTTCAGTTATATAACGGTGTGCCAGCTTCATGTGCTAGTGAGTGAGTTGGATTTAACACCACTTTCACAAGTATTTCAGTTATATAACGGTGTGCCAGCTTGATGTGCTAGTGAGTGAGTTGGATTTAACACCACTTTCACAAGTATTTTAGTTATATAACGGTGTGCCAGCTTGATGTGTGAGTAAGTTGGATTTAACACCACTTTCACAAGTATTTTAGTTATATAACGGTGTGCCAGATTGATTACGGAGCGAGTTGAATACTGGTGCCTACACGGTGAAAGACTGAGTGTGTGAGTTTTGTCTAACGCCGCTTTGAACTGTATTTCATTTAAATCACAGTGTGTCAGCTTGATGTGGCAGTGAGAGAGAGTGAGTTGGATTTAACTCCGTTTAAAACAGTATTTCAGTTCTAACACGGTGTCAGTTTAGGAGTGAGTGAGTTGACTTTAAGGCCCCTTCGAACAGTACTTCATATATATCCGGGCGTGTCAGGTTGACGTGGAAGTAATGCCAGAGGCAATGGAACCAATGCGACAGTGAGTGAGTTTGGTTTTACGCCGCTTTTGGTAATATTCCGGCAATATGAATGCTGGGAACACCAGAAATGGGCTTCACACACTGTACAGATGCGGGGAATCGAACCTCCATCTTCAGGGTGACGAGCGACAGTGCTACAGATGACTTAACCCCATCGCTCTGATTGTGTTTTTTTCAGGTTTATCAACACCGTGGGTTTCGCCTCAGACCTGAACCACTTCGGGTTTGCTGTCACGCCAAGCCGACACCCTGTACAACTTACCTTCGATTAATCCAGTGTCATCCCTATTCTACACTCACGATCTATTACAATTTATTTTACAAATCTCAAATCGTCATTGACTATCGCTTGCTCACCCTAAAAATCCACCCATCAACTCGTAGTTTATCAGCAGTGTCATTATTTCACCATCCCCTCTAAAAGATACGGAACAAAATTCTACTGACGTCTGCGTTATTTGAAATGACTGATGGTAGTTCGAATTCGAAATAATCCAATTCGATTATGACCGATAGTTTTATTCATCATGATTAGCACTGCCCCCAAAATGGCAATCTTTCGAAATTCATCAATTGTGATTTCTCTTTTAGGAGACTCCCAAACTGTCAAATAATAGGTGTCTTCAGTCGGGTCTTGGTAGGTCGGGTCTTTGTTCAACATGAACACAACCCGGTTGTGTAAATCGAAATCTGTACGTACAGACGTGTAAACTGTTGGCTGGAACTCTAGTGATAAGATGTGACTACATGTACCCTGGGTAAGATCTGTGGCCTTGTTGAGTGCGTGTCATCATGGGACCTCGCTCATAATATCAATCACTAGTCTGATCCAGAACTGTGCATTACACGCCGCCGTCACAGAGTTCTAATACGCCTCTTTCAAAACCATCAATGAGTGAGTGAGTTTGGTTTTACGCCGCACTCAGCAATATTCAAGCCATATGGCGGCTATCTGTAAATAATCGGATCCGGACCAGACAATCCAGTGAACAACAGAAAGGACATCGATCTACGCAATTGGGATACGATGACATGTGTCAACCAAGTCAGCGAGCCTGACCACCCGATCCCGTTAGTCGCCTCTTACGACAAGCATGGGTTACTGGCGATCAATTCTATCCCGGATCTTCTCGGGTGAATGATCAATGAATATAAGTCTATGATTTTGCAGTATTTGTTATGTTCTCTGTGTCTTTTCAGTATCGGACCAAAGAGGTGGAGGTTCCCATCGAGAAGAAGATCATCAGCATTAACGTCACCAACATCACAGCGACAACGGAGGCATCGACGGCGTACAACGTAGTAACGGGGATCTCTGCTGCTTTGAACGGTACAAACGTAACTGGTAATGTCTCAATTTGATTAAATTCCAGTAGGATCCCTTAGCAAGGTAGGATTTAGTTATAGCTGGCGCCAGACAGTGCCCATAGTTCTCCCAGAGCTTCTAGCCTAGACTATATATATCACACAGCTTCCCAGCTCACAATGCATATCACATGTAGACATTTGCACAAACGCACGTACTGGCATAACAACTATATATGAGGACTGGTACCACTGGGCAGAAGCAGGAGGTGCTGAAAGGACATCAATGTCAAATCTGACTCTGTACCTTTAGTCTGTGCATGTGGCGATTTAACTTTGGTCAGGGAAGTGGTGTGTGTGATTGGAAGTGGAGGATCAGTAAACTCATACAAACTAACCTAAGTACACAAACCGACAACCAGGGGTTAGCTCAGTGGTGAATGTGATCGCCCGACGCGCCAAATGCCTGGGTTTCATTCCACCTTTGTTACAATGTATGATTCTCATGTTTGGTGGTCCTCTTTGCGATGATGTTGAACATTATTCATAGCAGCAGATAATCATATTCACTAGTACTCACTCACTACTAAATGTTTTTAGATGTACTTTACGTTACAAGTTATATGATACACAAACACTCTGTATGTCCAAATGTCAGTACGAAGCTGATACGAAGTTAATAGATAGTTTAGACAAAATGCCGAATATAAACACGACATTACCTCCTCATTCAAACTTCACTAAATCAATATATCGTTTGTGTCGACATTAATGACCAACAGACCAACAGACCACGGGACCAGATTATTGTCGACCAAGAGACATCTAGACTGGATTAATCTACAGACTCCCCACCCGATTAGTCGACCAAAAGACCACCAAATCCGTTAAGTCGACCCACAGATGACTTGTACTAAGTAGTTGACTAACAGAACCCGGACCTGGTTTGTCGACAAAAAGACCTCGACGCAAATAGTCAACCAACAGATCCCGACCAATAGTCCAATTACAGACCCCGACCAAATTAGTCCACCAAGAAACAACGACACAAACAGTCAACCAACAGACTCCGACCAATTAGTCCACTTACAGACCCCGACCAAATTAGTCCACCAAGAAACCCCGACCTAATTAGTCAACCAACAGACCCCGACCAAATATTCCACTTACACACCCCGACCAAATTAGTCCACCAACAAACCCCGACCTAATTAGTCAACCAACAGATCCCGACCAATAGTCCACTTACAGACCCCGACCAAATTAGTCCACCAACAAGCCCCGACCTAATTAGTCAACCAACAGACCCCGACCAAAAGTCCACTTACAGACCCCGACCAAATTAGTCCACCAAGAAGCCCCGACCTAATTAGTCAACCAACAGACCCCGACCAAATAGTCCACTTACAGACCCCGACCAAATTAGTCCACCAACAAGCCCCGACCTAATTAGTCAACCAACAGATCCCGACCAATAGTCAACTTACAGACCCCGACCGAATTAGTCCACCAACAAGCCCCGACCTAATTAGTCAACCAACAGACCCCGACAAAAAGTCCACTTACAGACCCCGACCTAATTAGTCCACCAACAAGCCCCGACCTAATTAGTCCACCAACAAACTCCGACCTAATTAGTCAACCAACAGACCCCGACCAAATAGTCCATTTACAGACCCCGACCAAATTAGTCCACCAACAAACCCCGACCTAATTAGTCAACCAACAGACCCCGACCAAATAGTCCACTTACAGACCCCGACCAAATTAGTACACCAACAAACCCTGACCTAATTAGTCAACCAACAGACCCCGACCAATAGTCCACTTACAGACCCCGACCAAATTAGTCCACCAAGAAATCCCGACACAAACAGTCAACCAACAGACCCCGACCAAATAGTCCACTTACAGACCCCAACCAAAGTAGTCCACCAACAGACCCCGGACCTGACTAGTCTGCTACTGTTCCAACTAGTAACGGTGACTGAGGCCTATTCTCAACCGGAATTCCCACGCTCGTTGGAAATCGGAAAGACACAAAGTACATTATTCTGTGTCTTAGTCTATATGACAAAGCACACTTCATATCACTTGTGACATTTAGCACAGAACACACACTCCGGGACCATATATTTGTAGTCCCCTCAGAGGACTGAGATTGCAATTAGAGTACACATCGATCCAAATGCCGGGATAATGATGATGTATCCGATGTTGCTGATGCATTGTAAGTTATTATTGAATTAACATTTGTGTTAGACGTTTTTAAACAAACCGGAGAGAATAGCTGTCGATATATAGTATACATATGCGTCTGTGATATCCATCATAACGTATTTCTGATTACGGTCTTTTTATAACCTTCCGGAACTGTATTGACTACTTTCTATCTCATTTTATAATTCCAAGGTGAATTGGGGTTCGACAAACTAGCTGATGAAATAATAATTGAAAGTATTTCAATCCACCCAAACCCCAATTATAAACGATTCACAAGAAATAAATGCGAATATCTGATTGTAAATTTAGCTGAAGCGATCAACAATAAATTAATGGATATTTATGGTACCACGACAAGAACTTTTGTCAAATATGGAAACTCTTGTGTTCAAGTATTTCTCAGTCATGAACTAATCATGAATACAGTATTATCGACGATGTGTTCCTGTTATCGCGAACCACTTCGATTATGCATATCTTACGATATATACATACGAGCTAAATTTGAGTTATTGAAAAGACTACTTATAGAATATTGCCTTGTACACTTCACCAGATGTTCATGATTTCGTTGGAGCCCAATACAAGAACAAACTGCTTCGTGCAACCACATAACTGAGGGCTATGGCTTCAGGGTGAACGATCCGAACAGGATCAGATCGCAATGGAGAAACGTTAGGCTTATTATAGTCCTAAGTTGATTAAAATCCTGAGATTTAAATGTTCAATTGGCATGGTAAAATTTTGAGGATTCACAATATTTTATTTCACTTTAATCGATTCACGTTTTTGTTTAAAGTGAAATTAATCGGTACGTTTTCACTGCAAACAGACTGTAGTTATGTGGCATGCCTTTGCTACAGTGAGCCGCCATACCACGTGAACTTTGCTCAACATATGCATGTTGAAGATAAGGTAACGATTGTTTCAAGAAGCGATCATGATTGGTTCAATATGAGATTACGATTAGTTCAGTATTAAATCATGTTTTGTTCAATATGAGATTATGATTGGTTCAAAATGCGACGAGGATTGCCTCTATATTAGATCACGATTGTTTCAAGATGACATCAAGATTTGTTCAGTTTGATATTACGATTGGTTCAAGATGAGATTATAATTTGTCCAATGTGCGATTACGGTTTGTTGTAGATGAGAGCATGCTTGGTTTAAGATGAGGTGATGATTTATTCAATGTGCGATCATGTTGGTATATCAAGATGATATCGCCATAGGTTTGAGATAGGACTGCAAGTGGCTTTTAATAAGATAACAATTGAGATTTCGATTGCTGATATTGCAAGAACAGTGGTCAAAGAGGCGCCAAATAGGAGCCATGACGGTATGACTTCATAGTCTGTGACTATGAAACACCATAATTACATTGCATAGTTGCGTCCCTTTACCATGTCAGGATCTACATAAAAATTATCATGGGATATAAACCATAAACAGCGAGCACTGTAAGCTTCGTGTACATTACACCATGGTAAGCATATACAGCCTGGTTTTATTTGGAACTTTCTCCAAAATTCAATTCCCATGCCCGGAAATGCGGCATTAAAATCAGTTCATATATTTACTCGCTCACATCCTATTGACGTGTTGCAATATCATGACCTTGACCTTCCCTTACGGCCTGGCTTTTGCCAATTTACGGCACAACTAGTCCAAGATCCTCTGGGAATGCTGTGATGTTATTTCATGGTATCAATTTCAACTTGGATCGTGATAGATGTCACCATGCTGTAATTTTTAGAAATGATATGTGAATAACGACCATAGTTCTAATGGGAAAATACCAAATTGGAATCGAATTGAATTATTGTATAAAGCACCTTCATAAATATTGGTTTCAATAATTTGATATGTTTTAGACCTGTACAATATCGGGATCATTAATTCAAATAGAAATCGTGAAAAGGGAAATAATACACTGAAATATTCTATTTCATTAAAGGGATTACGTATTCCTCGTTAAAGACATTGCCAATCCAGTATGAGTATCTTCCCGTTGTGCTGAAACAGTTCATGGGTAAAACTCTTATTGATATAGGGGCGGTGGGTGGCCTAGTGGTTAAAGCGTTCGCTCGTCACGCCTAAAGACCCGGGTTCGATTCCCACATTGATACAATGTGTGAAGCCCATTTCTGGTGTTCCCCACACTGATATTTCTGGAATATTGCTAAACGCGGCGAAAAGCTCAACTCACTGTCATGGTACCGTTAAAACAATGAACACACCAGTATCTATCAAGGTGTTGTTCAACGTCATCGTGGATGATGACAAAGGTTAAGGACGACGTGCCACCATCTCCGACATATCTGTCCATCTTTGCGACAAACATGTAACGTTACACTGAAGTAGAACCGTGTGGACATTTTGACCGTTTAGTTCCACCTATATCAAAAGGAACATTTATAGAACATCGATACATGTACAAAAAAACGTTGAAACGATACTTTTGATTGCTTACAACTGAATTTAACGTTTTTCAGTGATTTCATAAGGCTTACTGGAGTGAGTAAAGTTGCTCATTTTCTTCAGTTCTCGACAAATAACATTCAGTTATGATCCCAGCAATCAGATTCGCGGAAAATACGATAAAACAGACACCTTGTAATTATTCATAGATTAGTTCATTACTGAATCATCTTACATTCATTTCGAATAAGTAATAATGGCAGCTTGTGAACAATGAACAACAGAAACACACCAGTCATGCATTTAGTAAGGCTGCAACGATTCGGCTTGATTCATCGAAAATCGAATCTGACACTTTAGTTTCGATTTTCAATAACCATTATCACTATTTCGATTCGATATTTGAATATCTATTTAAATTATTTCCGCACAACCAGAACGTAATTTGGACTCCAACTCGAGCAGTTTCAAGCGCTTAAATAAGGCGAAACGTGATTGGTTGACGCCGGGCTAATTATCCAATGAAAGTTGTTGTTAGTTGACTTTGCCAAGTTGACGATGGATTTCACGCTAAGCGCCCGCTCACTTGAACTCTGAGAGTTAAATGAAATCTGATGTTTAACTTGTATGAAGAATCGAATCGAAAATGATCGAATCGAGGGTCTAATATCGAATCGCTGCAGCTCTAGCATTTAGTTCGAACTGTATATTCACGAGAAGAACAATGATAAGAAGAAACAAACCTACCTCTATGGGCAGAATTGAATGTAGACATGACCATATTAGACTGTAAAAAGTAGCTAATTATGTTTCATTGAAAACTGGCTATGTGCAATTGTACGGATAATGATTAAATTCCAAAAATGTGACGATCTGTATATTCCGACAGTAAGGAATTATTTCTGCTTCCAGAACCGGAAACCGAATGGATCCCATCGCCAGGAAGTACAGGCCAGACGAATGTTTTGGGGATTGTCATGTTCTCCATCCTCTTTGGGGTGATGCTGGGTCGGATGGAGGGTCGTGGGAAGCCTATCCTGGACTTCTGCAACGTCCTCGTAGAGGTCACCATGAAGCTCTTCGTCATCTTTATATGGTAGGCAATACTGTCACCATGGTTGGTGCAAAGTAGAAATCACTGTTATATCAAATATCAAACACTTGTTGGCTGGGATTTTAGTTTAAATAACAATACGTATTTCCTAACGTTTCTGCTACACATTGAAAATACGTTCAAGCCCCTTTAACGTTATAAAATCAAATGCGAGGTCCTCGGTAATAATGTTCCGCAGGGGCGGGTTGACGTCAAATGATGGCCTCTGCTATAGCAATTACTTCACAGTCTGAAGACCATAGGCAAGACAGGTGCAGGTATTAACGTTGGTCATCTGCGTCCGAGCACCAAGTACCACCAGGATTACTTATGGTGACATACTATTGTTAGATGATTGAAAATTCATTATCTATAAAGATGGTAACAAATAGGTACTGATGGACTGTTTTCAAGCAAACAAAAGTTACTTGAACTCAAACTCAATGATGGCGTTGTTCATTTGGTTAGCTGAAAATTCCAAATCTGCCGCGTTGGAACAGCCAAATGCTGTTCCAGTCTAAAGCTATGATTTGTGCTGCTTCACATGATGCTCACAACATTAGTTTTACATTTCTCAAGAAAACTGTCATGACAGTCAGTCAAATCACTGTAAGAAGTTTATTCCCGGTTTAATGACGTCACTGTCAAGCTTTGGCCTGTCCACACCTGGGTCTTCTTTCACGAAGCATCCTTTACTAAGGTTAACCTTAATTCCCTGTCTATAACATCGCACTAAGGTTACCTTAGTGACTTACGATCACCTTAGTGCTTTGTGAAAGGATGTCCTGTACAATATATGAACGCCACCGTGATTTTGCTAACATGTGTAAGACATTACTCAAAGCGGAGTCAAATCAACTCACTCACTCACTGTGGCTCCATTGAGGATGAAATGAGACACTATACACTCTTGTTTCTTTTGGTACCAAATATACATTGACTATTGCCTTCCGGGGAAGGTAAAGTTTTTAGACTGCTTTATATATAAAAGTACTTCATGACTCGAATCAACACAATCTCACAACCAGGGTTAACGATATATCATTGAAATGTTTGGTCAGGTATTCTCCTGTGGGTATCACTTTCCTCATCGCAGCTAAGATCGTCGAGATGGAAGATTTCGGAGTTCTGCTTGGGAAGGTCGGACTCTACTTCATCACAGTCCTGTGTGGCTTGGCCGTTCACGGCGTAGTCGTTCTGCCCGGGCTCTACGTCCTCTGTACGCGGCAGAACCCGTACAGATTCATTTATGGCATATCGCAAGCTATGGCCACCGCATTCGGAACATCATCAAGGTGCGTGGTGGTGAAGGAACTTTGTTATATTCTTTCAGGGCCAGATGTGTAGACAATTATTGTAATATAAATACATATATATATATATATTGTAATATAAGTATGATATGCCTTTTTCTGTACCATTAGATTATATATCAATACCGTACCTTCATGTCATGCCGTATGTATCATGTGAAAGATTAAAGTTATATTAACCCATTGTATGTTTTACTGCATGTGTATCAGTTCTAACAACAAAATCCACACTGTTGTGAAAATAACGATTCGAAAATAATTATATTGATTGTGAATTATTTCTTTGGACGACTGGGCATTGCATATAACGATGTCATTTTGTTGATAAACAACGTTGTAACTGTATCATATTTTATCAGTAAAGATGTATGTAATTTGCAGGAACTTATTGCAATCGAATATATTCAGTGGTGTGGAAGTTGCCATGTGTTCATGTTCCTCAGTTACGTGTAATCACAAATCTTCTAGAAAAACATAGATTAGTCGAACATGTTATGCGGTTTTAAAAGGAGAATGAAATTGTACAGATAAGTCATTTGTATAATAATTTAAACTGTTGACAAGATCTGTCAACACAAGGATGACTACCGATTGCAAAGAGGTCTGACTGAATATCTTCACCAGTTGGTTAGTACTGGCGAAACATAATGCTAAAATGTTAGTACATAAGTAAATAACAATGATATAGTTATGCTAGATATTGAAAATATTATGCCATATTTGTTTGTAGTGAGCAGGTTCTTTTAAAATGCTACAATCAGTAAGTTAGAAGAAACAGAATGTCAACTATTTGCAAAAACTATCACATTGTATAAACGCAAGTCCTGCACTCTGATGGATGTGGTGATAGAAGTAGTCTATAACACGTGTTCCCGGTAAAGTATCTTCTCTTTCTCACAGGAAGGTATAAGTACAATGGCTTCGTCCGATCCGACATTGCAATACGACAACGTCCTAATGACAGCCTAATGCAAAATACTTGTAGCTGTAACATCCGACGATAGTTGGGATGGCATGGAGTTGGTTTCTATTTAGTTCTGAGCTTGTGCAGAGGATAGGCGTTCCCTACGTGTTCTCTCCCCATTCTGCCGAGCTTTGGAACTATTTCTGTTGCACAGTATCTGTAATGACATGAGCAGCTTAAACTGCTGCAGTTTGACATCATTAAGGTTATTTGGACCTCGTGTTTTTTGTCCCACTGCCCTCCGGTTTTACATCATGTTTCAGCTGTGCAGCTATGCTTGTGACATTAAACTGTTAACAGAGCAGCATGACCCATGTTACCTACCAGAATGACTCACAGCCTGTTTATAAATCACTGCCCTTTAGCTTAAGAAAATGTACCTTGTGTTTCAGCTCGGCAGCTGTGCTTGTAACGATGCGCTGTTTAAAGAGCAGAAAGGATCAAATTAACTCCCGTGAATGACTCACAGCAAATGGCCTTGTAATTAATTCATTTTCCCTAAGCTTTACACTAACTTTGTCAAAGACCAGCTCTGCTGCTGTGCCTACGTTGTTATAGTGTTGACCGTGGTGCATCACCGGGGTTCTAGTCACCAATCTGATTTGACGCTTCCCCCAGTGTTTCAGCTCCGTAACATTACGCTCATCAGAGAGCAGCATGGCCCTAGTAATGAATGTGTGAACTAACACCTAACTTATCAATACGTTTTACCTAGTTTTACAGTCTTCCTCATGTGAGCAGCATGACCCTAGTAACGAATCTGTGAACTAGCACCTGACTTATGAATACGTTTCACCTAGTTTTACAGTCTTCCTCATGTTTCAGCTCTTTTGAGAGCAGCATGACCTTAGTAACGAATCTGTGAACTAACACCTGAGTTATGAATACGTTTCACCTAGTTTTTACAGTCTGCCTCTTGTTTCAGCTCTTTTGAGAGCAGCATGACCCTAGTAACGGATCTGTGAACTAACACCTGACTTATGAATACGTTTCACCTAGTTTTGACAGTCGTGCTATTGTTTGGGCTCTTAGAGAGCAGTAAGACCCTAGTGACGAATCTGTCAACTAACACCTGACTTATAAATAAGTTTCACATGGTTTTGCTATTGTTTGGGCTCTTAGAGAGAAGTATGACCTTGTTATCCAATCTGCTGATTCACAACTGACATCTTCGTTTCCTGGATTTGACACGTTCCCCTGTTTCAACTTGGCAACCACGCCCGTGACATTATAGTAGAGAGGAGCATGACACTTGTAACTGAATTGTTGATCCACAAATGACTTATAGATCACTGTTACATTGTTCTTAATGTTTCAGCTCGGCAACCATGCCTGTGTTGTTATTGTCGTTAGAGAGAAGCATGACCCAAGGACATATTCTATAACATCATAACTGTCTTATAAATCATTATCACTGTGTTCCTAATGTTTCAGCTCGACAACATGCCTGTGTTGTTATTGTCGTTAGAGAGCAGCATGACCCAAGGAAATATTCTATAACATCATAACTGTCTTATAAATCATTATCACCTGTGTTCCTAATGTTTCAGCTCGACAACCATGCCTGTGTTGTTATTGTCGTTAGAGAGCAGCATGACCCAAGGAAATATTCTATAACATCATAACTGTCTTATAAATCATTATCACTCTGTGTTCCTAATGTTTCAGCTCGACAAACATGCCTGTGTTCTAATGTTATTGTCGTTAGAGAGCAGCAGGACCCAAGGAAATATTCTATAACATCATAACTGTCTTATAAATCATTGTCACCTTGTTCCTAATGTTTCAGCTCGACAACCATGCCTGTGTTGTTATTGTCGTTAGAGAGCAGCATGACCCAAGGAAATATTCTATAACATCATAACTGTCTTATAAATCATTGTCACTCTGTTTCTAATGTTTCAGCTCGACAACCATGCCTGTGTTGTTATTGTCGTTAGAGAGCAGCATGACCCAAGGAAATATTCTATAACATCATAACTGTCTTATAAATCATTGTCACCTTGTTCCTAATGTTTCAGCTCGACAACCATGCCTGTGTTGTTATTGTCGTTAGAGAGCAGCATGACCCAAAGGAAATATTCTATAACATCATAACTGTCTTATAAATCATTATCACTGTGTTCCTAATGTTTCAGCTCGACAACATGCCTGTGTTGTTATTGTCGTTAGAGAGCAGCATGACCCAAGGAAATATTCTATAACATCATAACTGTCTTATAAATCATTGTCACTGTGTTCCTAATGTTTCAGCTCGACAACATGCCTGTGTTGTTATTGTCGTTAGAGAGCAGCATGACCCAAGGAAATATTCTATAACATCATAACTGTCTTATAAATCATTGTCACTCTGTTTCTAGTGTTTCAGCTCGACAACCATGCCTGTGTTGTTATTGTCGTTAGAGAGCAGCATGACCCAAGGAAATATTCTATAACATCATAACTGTCTTATAAATCATTGTCACCTTGTTCCTAATGTTTCAGCTCGACAACCATGCCTGTGTTGTTATTGTCGTTAGAGAGCAGCATGACCCAAGGAAATATTCTATAACATCATAACTGTCTTATAAATCATTATCACTGTGTTCCTAATGTTTCAGCTCGACAACATGCCTGTGTTGTTATTGTCGTTAGAGAGCAGCATGACCCAAGGAAATATTCTATAACATCATAACTGTCTTATAAATCATTGTCACCTTGTTCCTAATGTTTCAGCTCGACAACCATGCCTGTGTTGTTATTGTCGTTAGAGAGCAGCATGACCCAAGGAAATATTCTATAACATCATAACTGCAACATATGTTATATTTGGGATTACACTTTCTTGGTAAAGTACAAATTCTAGTACTTTTTGAGTTGAGCCCCATCCGGGATTCGAACTCACACCCTCAGAGTCAGGCACCTAATCGCCAGCACACAAAGTCAGCCGCCTAACCCATTCAGCTACCGCGACTTCCACAAAAATGGAAGTCGGACAACTGGTAGTCTAGACTGCCGGCTTTGTGTACCCCTCTGATAAGTGTTAATTGGCACGGCTCCCACGGCCGAAAGCTATGATTACACAATGCCATTTAGAAAGTGGTCAAATGCAACATATGTTATATTTGGGATTACACTTTCTTGGTAGTACAAATTCTAGTACTTTTTGAGTTGAGCCCCATCCGGGATTCGAACTCACACCCTCAGAGTCAGGCACCTATCGCCAGCACACAAAGTCAGCCGCCTAACCCATTCAGCTACCGCGACTTCCACAAAATGGAAGTCGGACAACTCTGTAGTCTAGACTGCCGGCTTTGTGTACCCTCTGATAAGTGTTAATTGGCACGGCTCCCACGGCCGAAAAGCTATGATTACACAATGCCATTTAGAAAGTGGTCAAATGCAACATATGTTATATTTGGGATTACACTTTCTTGGTAAAGTACAAATTCTAGTACTTTTTTGAGTTGAGCCCCATCCGGGATTCGAACTCACACCCTCAGAGTCAGGCACCTAATCGCCAGCACACAAAGTCAGCCGCCTAACCCATTCAGCTACCGCGACTTCCACAAAATGGAAGTCGGACAACTGGTAGTCTAGACTGCCGGCTTTGTGTACCCCTCTGATAAGTGTTAATTGGCACGGCTCCCACGGCCGAAAGCTATGATTACACAATGCCATTTAGAAAGTGGTCAAATGCAACATATGTTATATTTGGGATTACACTTTCTTAGTAAAGTACAAATTCTAGTACTTTTTTTTTGAGTTGAGCCCCATCCGGGACTCGAACTCACACCCTCAGGGTCAGGCACCTAATCGCCAGCACACAAAGTCAGCCGCCTAACCCATTCAGCTACCGCGACTTCCACAAAAATGGAAGTCGGACAACTGGTAGTCTAGACTGCCGGCTTTGTGTACCCCTCTGATAAGTGTTAATTGGCACGGCTCCCACGGCCGAAAGCTATGATTACACAATGCCATTTAGAAAGTGGTCAAATGCAACATATGTTATATTTGGGATTACACTTTCTTGGTAAAGTACAAATTCTAGTACTTTTTGAGTTGAGCCCCATCCGGGATTCGAACTCACACCCTCAGAGTCAGGCACCTAATCGCCAGCACACAAAGTCAGCCGCCTAACCCATTCAGCTACCGCGACTTCCACAAAAATGGAAGTCGGACAACTGGTAGTCTAGACTGCCGGCTTTGTGTACCCTCTGATAAGTGTTAATTGGCACGGTCCCACGGCCGAAAGCTATGATTACACAATGCCATTTAGAAAGTGGTCAAATGCAACATATGTTATATTTGGGATTACACTTTCTTAGTAAAGCCCCATCAAATTCTAGTACTTTGAGTTGAGCCCCATCCGGGATTCGAACTCACACCCTGGTCAGAGCCAGCTTTGTGTACTCTGCACATTAGGTGCCGCCCCAGCAGAAAGTGGTCAAATGCAACATATGTCAAATTCACCGCACTTTCTGGTAAAGTCAAATTCTAGTACTTTTGAGCTAGCCCCATCCGGCGAGTCTAATCCACAAAATGGAAGTCCGGATTCACTGGGTCAAATGCCTGTCGGATCACTGCTGGCAAAGCTGTCGGCTTCTGATAAGTATTTTACCGGCATCGGCTTCCACGGCCGAAAGCCATGATTACTAATGCCATTGGTCAAATGCAACATATGTCATATTTGATTATTACCATTTAGTAAAGTACAAACCTAGTACTTTTTGAGTTGAGCCCCATCCGGGATTCGAACTCACACCCTCTGAGACTAGAATTTGTACTTTACCAAGAAAGTGTAATCCCAAATATAACATATGTTGCATTTGACCACTTTCTAAATGGCATTGTGTAATCATAGCTTTCGGCCGTGGGAGCCGTGCCAATTAACACTTATCAGAGGGGTACACAAAGCCGGCAGTCTAGACTACCAGTTGTCCGACTTCCATTTTTGTGGAAGTCGCGGTAGCTGAATGGGTTAGGCGGCTGACTTTGTGTGCTGGCGATTAGGTGCCTGACTCTGAGGGTGTGAGTTCGAATCCCGGATGGGGCTCAACTCAAAAAGTACTAGAATTTGTACTTTACTAAGAAAGTGTAATCCCAAATATAACATATGTTGCATTTGACCACTTTCTAAATGGCATTGTGTAATCATAGCTTTCGGCCGTGGGATTAACACTTATCAGAGGGTACACAAAGCCGGCAGTCTAGACTACCAGTGCTCCGACTTCCATTTTGTGGAAGTCGCGGTAGCTGAATGGGTTAGGCTGGCTGACTTTGTGTGCTGGCGATTAGGTGCCTGACTCTGAGGGTGTGAGTTCGAATCCCGGATGGGGCTCAACTCAAAAAGTACTAGAATTTGTACTTTACTAAGAAAGTGTAATCCCAAATATAACATATGTTGCATTTGACCACTTTCTAAATGGCATTGTGTAATCATAGCTTTCGGCCGTGGGAGCCGTGCCAATTAACACTTATCAGAGGGGTACACAAAGCCGGCAGTCTAGACTACCAGTTGTCCGACTTCCATTTTTGTGGAAGTCGCGGTAGCTGAATGGGTTAGGCGGCTGACTTTGTGTGCTGGCGATTAGGTGCCTGACTCTGAGGGTGTGAGTTCGAATCCCGGATGGGGCTCAACTCAAAAAGTACTAGAATTTGTACTTTACTAAGAAAGTGTAATCCCAAATATAACATATGTTGCATTTGACCACTTTCTAAATGGCATTGTGTAATCATAGCTTTCGGCCGTGGGAGCCGTGCCAATTAACACTTATCAGAGGGGTACACAAAGCCGGCAGTCTAGACTACCAGTTGTCCGACTTCCATTTTTGTGGAAGTCGCGGTAGCTGAATGGGTTAGGCGGCTGACTTTGTGTGCTGGCGATTAGGTGCCTGACTCTGAGGGTGTGAGTTCGAATCCCGGATGGGGCTCAACTCAAAAAGTACTAGAATTTGTACTTTACTAAGAAAGTGTAATCCCAAATATAACATATGTTGCATTTGACCACTTTCTAAATGGCATTGTGTAATCATAGCTTTCGGCCGTGGGAGCCGTGCCAATTAACACTTATCAGAGGGGTACACAAAGCCGGCAGTCTAGACTACCAGTTGTCCGACTTCCATTTTGTGGAAGTCGCGGTAGCTGAATGGGTTAGGCGGCTGACTTTGTGTGCTGGCGATTAGGTGCCTGACTCTGAGGGTGTGAGTTCGAATCCCGGATGGGGCTCAACTCAAAAAGTACTAGAATTTGTACTTTACTAAGAAAGTGTAATCCCAAATATAACATATGTTGCATTTGACCACTTTCTAAATGGCATTGTGTAATCATAGCTTTCGGCCGTGGAGCCGTGCCAATTAACACTTATCAGAGGGTACACAAAGCCGGCAGTCTAGACTACCAGTTGTCCGACTTCCATTTTGTGGAAGTCGCGGTAGCTGAATGGGTTAGGCGGCTGACTTTGTGTGCTGGCGATTAGGTGCCTGACTCTGAGGGTGTGAGTTCGAATCCCGGATGGGGCTCAACTCAAAAAGTACTAGAATTTGTACTTTACTAAGAAAGTGTAATCCCAAATATAACATATGTTGCATTTGACCACTTTCTAAATGGCATTGTGTAATCATAGCTTTCGGCCGTGGGAGCCGTGCCAATTAACACTTATCAGAGGGGTACACAAAGCCGGCAGTCTAGACTACCAGTTGTCCGACTTCCATTTTTGTGGAAGTCGCGGTAGCTGAATGGGTTAGGCGGCTGACTTTGTGTGCTGGCGATTAGGTGCCTGACCCTGAGGGTGTGAGTTCGAGTCCCGGATGGGGCTCAACTCAAAAAAAAAGTACTAGAATTTGTACTTTACTAAGAAAGTGTAATCCCAAATATAACATATGTTGCATTTGACCACTTTCTAAATGGCATTGTGTAATTACACTGTTTAGAGCATAATAACCATGTGGATCCACGAGTGAGCAGCTTCGTCATCCCTGTCGGTGCCACGATAAACATGGATGGTACGGCACTGTACGAGGCTGTAGCTGCACTCTTCATCGCCCAGGTCAACAACATGGCTATGGACTTTGGGAAGGTTGTCACTATCAGGTAATCCACATGTCATAATGAAATATTCTTGCGTGCAGACCATCTTTCCATCACGTCAAAAGCGACAAAAGTCACAAGAACTATCCGCTATAGGATTAGTCAATTGCTGGAATTCGACTTTATCATGAACGTGTTTTTTATTAATCACTATTACATAGTGATAATAACGGGTGTAGACGCAAAGGTGAGTATATCCTGCCTCATCCATGGCACAGGTCACAAACACAAGAACAGGCAAGTCAACATAACATGACCGCCATATAGCGTAAAACTTAACTCACCATATATAACATGAAAACAATACGGGGAAAAAGTGGAACGTAACTATTCAAATTAGTGAACTTTACAATCATACTTGTAGATGCAAAGCTTAGACAAGTATACAACCGTAGTGGTTCTCTGCAGTGCCAAATAAATGCAACGCAATACTTCCCGTGATTATATGAAATATATGCGAATAGGAGCTTCAGATGGTTCGCCTCTACCATTTGGTTGTCTTCATGAATCTCTATGACATAGTGACGACACCACGTGTTCTCTATACCACACGCTATTTACTACGCCGTAACACCCGGTGTTCCCCAAACATATGTCTATTTATACACCGCAACACCAGGTGTTCCCTGATCATATATCTACCTACATTGTTTATACGACACCAGGTGTTCCATACCCATACTTACACCGCAACACCAGGTGTTCCCTAATACCCCATGCCTGTTCACACCACCGCGACACCAGGTGTTCCATGTACTATATACCTACTTGTACATCGTGACATTAGGTGTTCCCTGTGCCATATACCTACTTATACACATCGGACACCAGGTGTTCCATATACCACATACCTACTTACAACACCAAGGGATCGCCACTGCTCATTAAACAAAGCCTAGAGAATCACATCAGACAATGATGCCATCGTTGTATACGGTCAATTGAGACAATTTGAATTAATTAATAATAAATAGTCTCTTATTCCAGGAGTATACTATAAAATGTGTTTGTCTAATTGTTCATGTTTATATTCAATCAGCGTGTTCCACCCGTGCTTGTATACCCTGTGGTCACCCTTCGTGTTTTCACTCATTTTCAGTACCCTGTTCATGTATTTTCACTGTCAGTATCCGCTTTACGCAGAAAGAAATATATTGGCCGGACTTGTTGTTTTCGGGTTTTTTAGTTTTATACCATAGGATATCAATCTATTTTAAGAGATATCCAATCTCTGATGCGATGCCAAAATTAACACCGGAATAACTGAAAGTCCTTTTTTTCTGAAATCTTAAATCTATTCCATTTTTAAATATTTCACTTTGTCCGCATAAAATTGAAATGCTTATTTTATTATACACTCATTTCATCTTAGGGATCAGCGGTTAAGTAGAAATAGGGCAGGGAATTTTCTCTCTGTTCTGGCAATCGTCAACTGTGTACTGTGGCTTTTTAACTAGTTCCCTATAATAAACAGGTGCTTGTAACAAGCATTGGCTGTGATCTGATATCAGTAGAATCCAACAAGTTTAGTTACATCCATCATGATCAACGTAAGCCCTTCAGAGTAATTTACTCACACTGGGAGACAAGCGATTCCACCAGCTACAACTAGTTGTATTAAGGAGGATGGAGACACGCACCGCGTCCTCATTAAACATCACTCTTCCGCGTTGAAAACATGTCATGTTTGGCATTTTTTTTTATTTGGAAGGTTTGGGTTTTTTATTACAAACAGATTAGTTTTGTTTGATTGAAATGGAAATGGTTTAGTTTCTACCTTTGAAGTCGTTCTGGTATGAAAAACGGAACTACAATTCTTTTCTGGCATTTAACAGCTTATCTCTGTTTTCCAAACGGCGATAACACCTGGTATCAGCATTGATTCCGTTCGTCACTCTGTTGCCGTTGTTGTCAACTGGAATCGGTTTGGGCAGATGCTCTAGACTCGTTATCATGTTTTGATTCAATTGTTTGGGGTTTGTTTTTATTCATTCTTCTCTGTTCTGAACTCAACCTAAAATCCAACGAACTGCAAAATTCTTATGAGGCTTCCATCGGCAGAACCAATCGTCCTACATGAAGATACATCTCATGGAGTTGAACACGTACATATAAAGATAGTGGTGAGATTACCGAGTGTACATATATAAGAAGTAATTTCTGAAATAATTGCACGACACGGATTTTCTCCAACATGTTTCACTTTTATCTTCAGGGAGAAGTGATTACAGTTGAACAGATTATGTATAGATATATTGAAGAATTATGGCCCAAGTCACGCTGTAACTATAAAACCTGGTCAGTTATAGAAACTTTTGAACAACCAATTAAAGATACATTTCAGATCTAATATATACGCGGTTGTGTGGTATTATATGTTAATATTTTTATGTGTGATAATCGATGGATGTTCTTTAGACAGACAGAAACAGATCACATGCCCATGAAGCATTAATATAGCATGATAAATCACATTCTATACTCTCCCCAAAAAGAAACGCATATAGGAATTTCAACTGTATTTTTATGTTTATTTTGAAACATCTTGTAGGCTTTATGAGTCAATGAAATATAGCGAAATTGCACACTGGGAATGCGGACCTGTCCGTCTTTGGCACCAACTCGAGGAAAGTGAGTTTGAGTGTCACATGGAGACGTGTGGTGGCGCTGAAGTTAATACCTCGTGTGACCACCGTGGGCATCCAGAACTGCACGGCATCGCCTCGGCATCGAACGAATAAGTCTCACAATCTCGTGTTGCCCAATCGCAGCCCACTCTGCCTGTAATACCTGTGCGAGTTGCTGAAGTGTCTGGGGCTGAGGGTTACGGCGTCGCACCCGTCTGTCTCTAGTGTGACGTGCTGTGTGGGGCCTGGCATTGTCCTGTTGAAACAACTCCCTCTGGCGATCAATGATTGGAAGGAGATGTGGGCGTAGGATTTCGTCACAGTACCGTTGAGCTGTCAGGTTGCCCTGGATCATCACCAAATCACTTCCCCATACTGCAGGTGATCGCTCCCCACATCATAACCCTACCCCGGCCGAATCTGTCCACCTTGGGAACGCAAGCGTCGGCGAAACGTTCACGTCGACGTCTGTACACCCGCATCCTTCCATTGCGTCGTTCCAGTAGAAATCGTGATTCATCCCTGAACCAGATTCTACGCCAATTCGGTAGGTTCCAGGCCTGAACGTTGGTGCACCATTGAACTCGATCTCGACAATGTTTTTGTCGAAGCACAGGGCCACAATAAGGTCATCTGGCACGTAAACCAGCCTCTCTCGACCTGTTCCTGACGGTCTGTGCAGAACGCCTCCTAAATCCGGGTATTTATCGAGCGGTACTCGTCGCCGTAGCTGTTCGATGACGCAGGTGATGTACCCGGATGTAGCGTTCCTGCGCCGCAGTGGTCGCTCGAGGTCGCCCACTACGAAGGGGATCTGCTACCGCATTCTGTCGGCGAAATCTCTCCCAGAACCGTGAAATGGTGCTTTGGTGAACATTCATGCTTCGGGCAACTGCACGTTGATACTGGCCAGCTTCACGCAAACCAATGGCGATATGACGGTTGGCTTCTCTTAGACGTGGTATTTTGCGTTCGTCAACAATATTCGAAATACAGTGAATAATTGACAGACAGCGATCAACCTTTTATACCCTTCATTGATACTATCTGATCCCCAACTTTCACGTGCATTGCATGTGAATTGTGTATTCTGTGACACTACACGCCGAAATTGAAAATCATGCTGTTAAATACGGGTATTTTACGGATGGTGCGTTTTGTTGTGATGTTTCAAAACATAAACACCATAGGACTCATAAACAGAGCAAAACCTTTTGTAAAATGAATCAAGCTTCACTTCATTGCTACATGATATTGCTATTTTCACGATGCGTTTCTCTTTTTGGAGAGCATATGTACAGTCCTAATTGACAAGTGCATGACCTTTTTTAAGGTAGCTGTGTGAATTGGTTCTAAGATGGTGATTCAGTGTTGTTTGTATGTCGGGAGAGTTTCTGTGCATTGGCATAGTGTTTACATATTATATGCGATTTATTGAATATTTTGTTGTAAAGAGTAACACCATGCAAGTCAATCACATTAAACTCACGCATCTATATACATGATGAGTCGGGCGCTGGGATTTCATTATCACCTCTCAGCATTGAGTAGCATGGGGATTGATATTCCTGTCATGGGCATAGCAGACACATATATAATGTGTGCTAGGACAGTGACCTAGAGACAGAATAGTGGTCGTAAGTTGGTGCCAACCCAGTTGGAAACTCCGACGTTGATGCTTTTTAATTAATAATTGCTCTACAACAACCCCCGACATTGTTCCTGATTAACCAACCATGAACATCATTAATCTGCTGGGGGTCGATAAAGAGACCACGTGACTACGACGTGACCAACTATCGTTGCAGTCGTATCAGAACTGACGTCTATGGCATCGCGTGTATACCAATTCTTCATCATAGGGTAGTCACGAGCCAGGACATCATAACGACACCCTGAGGTAATAATGATCGGATTAATGCCACGGTTGCCCTTAGAAGTCGAACTCTCCAGGTACTTATCAGACCGGTGTTAAAATGGCGAAGAGCAGGGGTTCAGTATGCTTGGACGATCTGCGGCTTCTCAGGGACAGTCGGTTTTCCAACGCGGTGCCCCCAAGGGTTTTATAATGCTTTATGGCTCAGTAGCGTTATTCACGAACAACATTCTACATCTTTTATTAATCGGGTCTTATAATGACGTATCTAACTCTATTGCCACGTGTCCCACTGGACACTTTTATGCTTCTTAAAGGCGGACTTCGTTCCTCTTACTGCTTGTCTGGACACAGTACTTAATACGTAGTCTGTCCCAGAGTCCCTGAAGTATATTATTTTCCCTACAGCCTTGCCCTCCCTTCAATGTTAAAGCTCTAAATGAAGTAAGTCTAGATAACACCACTATCTGGTCTCTCTGGAGCTCCTTTTCAATTTAAAT